AAAAAAAAAGTAACAAAAAATGTAAGAAAGAGTCATTGAAGGGAAAATCCGGTCCAATGACTCAGCTAAAGGGACTGATGTCCAGTCTAGCATACGCTAAAGGGACTGATGTCTAGTCTAGCATTCGCTAAAGGGACTGATGTCTAGTCTAGCATTCGCTAAAGGGACTGATGTCTAGTCTAGCATTCGCTAAAGGGACTGATGTCCAGTCTAGCATTCGCTAAAGGGACTGATGTCCAGTCTAGCATTCGCTAAAGGGACTGATGTCCAGTCTAGCATTCGCTAAAGGGACTGATGTCCAGTCTAGCATTCGCTAAAGGGACTGATGTCCAGTCTAGCATGCGCTAAAGGGATATTTATCCGGCCTAGCACAATCGTCTCCAGTTCTAATACTGATGAGTGATGATAACGTAGTAGTTGTGGTAAGCTGAAGGGTTAACCGAACCCGCACAATATTGAAAGCTTTTGTTAAAGGTTATACTAGATAGAGATTAGAAATGCCAGGATGATCGAACGGGTTGTTATCTTATTCCCAGATGCTCGGAAAACGCTCGAGGACGAGCGTACGTCAGTATGGCCGTGTCGGCGCCGCCGTCATTATTTTGTAAACTGCGAATGTAATGGGCGAGCAGTGAACAAACAACTGACCGACGTCACTTCAACCCCACCACCGAGTGATATATAAAGCAGCGCAAGCGCAAGCTCGAGTCAGTCGTTCGTCGATCGTTGCCCAGTTCACACGTTACGCAATCGCTGAGTAATTTTATTGTTGGTTTTATTTGAGTGTTTCCTTTATATAATCAGTGCTGAATTATTCAATTATTATAATTAAAAATTAATGTGAAAGTAAGTTCATTTAATCGAAATAAACTAAGTGATTGTGTGAAGCTCTTTGTTTTATTTTCAAATAATGTCGGACCCTGATCCTACACATATATATGTTACCGGTCAAACCTGATTTCAGGACAAACTAGTTAAACTTAGGCTAAACTAGTTCTTCATATACGCGTTAGGATTAACTTGTATAGCCTAGTTCAAACTAATTTGTCCTAAGCCCGATAGGATAAACCAGTTTAGGCTAGGACAAACTAGTTGATCCTGATATAAATACGCACACTCCAGGATAAACTGGCGTAGCCTAGTCAAATAAATAGATAAATTGAATAAAATACTCCGTAATTGTTATTAAACTATAATGATTCGTCGTTAAATCTTATGGTTAACTCGTAATACGAACAATCATATTATAACAAATAATAAGTGTCTTTAAATGAAGCAATAATTATTTAAATCGTTATTAATTTAAAATCATAATGATTCGTCGCTACAAGTTATAGATAATAATTGGCAATACAAACAATCATACTATAAATAACAAACGAACGGGTAGGCAGAGGTGCACATTATGCCACTGTACAATGTAACATCCACTTTTCACTATTTATGTTATGAGTCCCACGTAATAGGGGGTGAACCTATTGCCATATACCGGGCACAATTCCAGACTCCGCCCTACTACTGAGGGTTTTTTTTTAAATTCGGTAATACTTTGCCCGACCCGGGAATCGAACCCGAGATCCCTTGCCTGGCAGTCGCACTTGCGACTACTCGGCTAACGAGGCAGTCCTACTGTTTTTTTTAATAGATGCAATAATCATATTATGACTAGGCCATATCAGAGTGTGCGTATTTATATCAGGATCAACTAGTTTGTCCTAGCCTAAACTGGTTTATCCTTTCGGGCTTAGGACACATTAGTTTGAACTAGGCTATACTAGTTAACCCGTATAGGAAGAACTAGTTTACCTTAGTCCAAACTAGTTTGTCCTGAAATCGGGTTTGGCCGGTAACGTATACGATATTATACATTTTAATATTTCTGTGAGCCACACCAACCGCTTTTCTCAAAATAGTTTCAATTGACCCAGTCTCCCTCCATTATGCTGCACGGTAGGGATACATATACAGAACTACAGGACGTCAGACAAAGTCCAGAAGATGCTGAATTTGTATTATATATTTTGTTCTCTGAGATTTTCATTTTGTTTGAGTTTCAGGAAAGATATTATATGGTGTGAATGCCAGATTACTGACCTCAAACACCTCGAGAATGTTGGAGAGTTGGTCGGGGAACTTTGAGAGTTTTTTGAGTGCGCCAGAGACAATGTTCCGCTCCTCGAAGTTGAGAAAGTTGAGTGGCGAGTCGAGGGTGGGCACGTGAGGGACGGGTTCCAGTAGGGGCGCGCGTTCCAGCCCTGACTGCGTCAGCGCCTCGCCCACCGTACTGCAGAACCGCTCGTACTCTACGTAGCGGCGCCGTGCTGGCGCGCAGAACCTGTTCATAACATACTAATCATTAGAAAACACTTCTATAGCCACTTATATATACAAATAATGTACAGAAAAAAAACCTTACTTACCTACATATCTCTATTAAAAGTGAAATAAGAATTGTGGGTGCACACGCTGAGAGTAACTTACACCTCCATGAGCGTGTCCATCTCGAGTGGGGTGAGGGAGAGGCCGGCGGACGCGAGACCTCGGTAGAAGTCGGCACGCGGGATCACCAGCTCGTTGCGAGGATCGAACTGTTTGAGGAATTCTCTCGGACGCACACCCTCCCGTACCATCTATTGCAATGTAAAAAATCATAGAAGAACCGATAGAAAACATGAAGATTAAGTCTGCTTGCAGTATTTTTATTAGTCAGCTCACCTTGCCTTTGATCTTGGCGAGTATCTGCACGATGTCTGTCTCCAGCGGGTCCACGGTGGAAGACCGCGCGCTGCGGGGCGCCGGCCCCGGCCCCGCGATAGTGGCGCTCTCCACCGGCCGCTCCACCATCTGCACCACACAACCTAACACTATGTACTACGGTGCCGAGGACTCCTGGTACTTCTTCACTGATCTGATACCCAAGTTTGTGTGTTGTGCTGAGGATAGTTCTATAAACTGGATTAATCTAGAGAATAGCCACCTCGTCCAGTAGCCGCACGTAGCTGAAGCCGCAGTCGTCGAGGTAGCGCGCCTCAAGCGCCCGCACCTGCTGCGCAGAGGGCAGCACGCCCAGGCGCGCCAGCACGCGCCGCACCTGCGCGCGCGACACGTGCCCGTTGTTGTGCCTGCGACAGTGGCGGGGTGAGGCCGGGTCCTGCGCCCACGTGGCAGTGCGGAGCGCGCTACTCACTCGTCGTGCTCGCAAAAAGCGGGGCGCAGGTCGATGGCGCGCTCGGTGCAGGCAGCGCGCACGCGTAGTAGCGCGGCCTGTGCGGCGTCCAGGTCGTCGACAGTCTCGCCCTCGCCGCGGTCGGGCGCCGCCCCGCGCGGCGGCAGCTCTAGCACCGCCTCGCGTGCCGAGCCCGCTATGGCCCCAGGGTGCTTCTCTAGCTCCTTTATTGTGAACACTGTCGGATAGCAAGCGTATCGCTTCTTACAATAGTGAACTAGCATTTTTGACACACATTCTGTGATGTTGACAAGATATTCTTATTACGTCGGCATCAACTCGTACATTATTTTCCATTACCTAACTGTTCAGTTCAGGCTCATTTATTGTCATTTATAAATATAATAAAAAATGAAAACTATGTATGTACCGACTCTATGTAGGTATTATAGGTAACCTACTCATCTACTCTTGGTATATAAAATAAACTGGTTATAGTACCTTGGTCGCAGTCATCCTCGAAGGTTCTCCAGCATACGTGCTGGCTATCGTTGGGGTCGAGGTAGTGGCGCATGATGCACAGCATCTCCTGCTGCGACAGCACGCTGCCCAGCCCCATGGCGTCCAGCCCGCGCCGGAACTGCTGCGGGGCGATGCGGCCGCTGTTCAGTGGGTCGTAGTCCTGGGGGGTGAATACAAGTTACACTACAGGGTGCTACTGAATAATATAATATAATTTTGAGGTCTTCCTGATGATTTTAGTCTTGACTAATTTATTGATTTATTGTTTGAAATGACAGAAAACATAGACTTCTGAAACTTCGGTGTAAAATCTATGAGAATGTTATTTTACTGCACAAGTACTTATTTATTTACTATATTGTCAATTAGTAGCATATGATCATTCTAAACTATCTAAAAATTAATTATTGCTAATACTTACTCTTAAGAACTCTGAAACTCTAATGCGTCTCTGTAGCACGAACTCCTGGACTCTGAGCATGAGGTCGATGAGCTGTCTCGGCGGGTGTGGCTGTGTTAGCGCTGGGTGGAAGGTCTCCTGGAAGCCGAGCGGCGCGGTGGACAGCCCGGCCTCCACCTCAGGCCGCACCAGCTTCGGCAGCGTGGTGTCAATCACTGCACTGGGGTTCTGATACTCCTGGAAATTAAAAGGAATAGTTTTTCACACCATTTCTGATTGGTCAGCTCAAATTTTCGATTACATAGTTCCCTTCCCTTGATTGAAGAATCCAGAAATATAAACTGATGTTATCGTGAATTAAATTTCGTGATATAAGGAAAATCCCACCGAACAGCTAACCAACAGTTTTGTTTAGACTGTAAGCCTGTTTGATGTAATTGAAATAAATGACTTGAGTTTAGACTGCTCACCGGCCCCAGTCCCTGCACGCCTTGCTTTTTGACGGCGTCGACAGCTCGGAGGAACTCCACGTAGTCGATAGTGTACGAGTCTTTTATGAACTTGCGCACGAGCAGGTTGAAGTCATCCGCCGTCACTACCACACCGATGTAGTTCAGGATCCGCGCGAAGTGGGCGAACGTTATCCTCCCGTCGTTCTTAGCGACCTGGTAAAGTTAGCACAGGTTTCAATCCATCTGCGAAGGATGTTACAAAGAGAACATTTTTACTAGTAGATAACACGACAGGGCACTGAGTAATTTCCACTTTATTTAAAGATGAAAAAATAAATGGATGGTTTGACAAGTATACTTATTAGATATTTTCAAATAAGATATATGATATGAGAGCAGCTTGTTTGGCTCGTTGGTTAGGTAATAAGTCTCTAATTGTCAAACTAAAGGGGTTAATTTTTTATGTTTCAAACTGACATTTATAATTTTCGAAATTCTTAAAGTTTGCCATAAGGCAATGGGCTCTCGTATTATTACACCGATATAACCAGTGAAACGCGTCACATGTAATAAGACGTGTACCTACTGTTACTGAATGTGATACCTACGTAGAAGTTGTGACATTTCCAGAGAGCATAACAAACCAGTTCGTAGTCCTGGAAGTATGGCTTGAGTGGCAGGTCCCTGTCGGCGATGGTGGCGAGCAGGCAGCACAGCCGCCGGGTCTGCCACTGGTCCAGCGTGTGGCAGGCTGGCTCGGGCGGCGGGGGACACGCCTCCAATATGCAGTCAGCAGAGGTCTTGTCCCGACCCCCAGCGTCTATCACACAGGTGTATTGATTGGCATTAGCTATGCAATCATATTTAAATATCGAACCGTAATAAAATCGAAAAACTGTTTGAATAATTAAAGTGTCTTGTTACATACACCTGATAGTCTAACGACAAGAAAAACAGGTAAAAGCTTCTGGACATGGACAGATGGCGCTTCATGTACAATATTGACATAAAGCCAAATCCGATTAAGATTCAGTGGCGATTCAGTCTAAAACAACTAAATTAGGAACATAATATCTTAAGAAAAAAATGATAACAATGATCAACCGCTGTTATTTTATTGTTATTTTACAGCGAAATTTGCAGGAGAAATGAATAATCTTCACATTACTCCACGTACGTCACAAAAACATTCGTTTTGAGGTTTTAATTTGAACACGTGTCGTTCATTTGAACAATGTCGTGGTGGCCCGGAGGTTTAAGATGCCCGCTTCTCATGCATGAGGGTGCGGGTTCGAAACCTACCAACGGCAAGTACCAATGCGACTTTTTCCGATTTATATGTACTTTCTAAGATTATCTAGACACCACTGATAGACGGTGAAGGAAAACATCGTGAGGAAACCTGGACTTATAATTTCTAATTTGTAATCGCCAACCCGCATTGAGCAAGCGTGGTGATTAATGCCCAAACCTTCTCAGTGTAAGTAGAGGCTTTGCTCAGCAGTGGGCATTTATAGACTGTTAATGATGATGATGATGATGATGATTTGAACACGTACCTACTAAGTTTTGTGTCGTATGATATACAGTACTTGTTTTGTCTTGAGATATGTAGGTATCTAAAATTTGGATAGCGTGCATTACTCATGGGTAATATTGAAATGAAATGCAATATTAGGCGCAGTATGGGAGCAGCCGCGGCGCGGTGAGCACATCTTATTGATTGCCTGGTGCCTGACCCGGTTACTGTCGTTAAATACAGCCATTTACCTCACCCTGCTACACTCCTGCAGTTTTACATGACATGCAACCAACCCCTGCTTACACAGCCAGAACACAGAGGGAAATATACAACAAAACAATCAAAAGAAATTAAACAAAATAATATTTTTGACTGTTTACTTGCAAAAGTTTCAAAAATATATAAAGTTTGCGCTCGGACACGGCTGGAGAGTGACACCTACTACGTGGCTCTCAGTCTAGTATCAAAGTAGTTGGCACACGTCTGGCTCTCTGAAAATACAAAGTATTGAGATATGGTACACACTGTATTCCCAATAGTTCAAACCAGTTTTGAAACGAGGAGATAGACACACAGTATACATGTACAGTAACTACAAACATAGCCTAGACGTCTATCCATAAGCACTTACATTATGTAACTCAATTGAATCTAATTTCGTTTTGAATTTTCTTTGTTTTGGACGGGCCATATTGATTATTGAAGTAGCGCAGTCGTCTCACCTTCCCCGTGTATAATCTGGCAGAGCTGGTGGTACAGCACGCGGCCATCTTGCGCTCGGAAGTAGTCAGCTAGTTGAGCGATCTCCGAGTCGGACAGCCCCACCACCGATCGCAGCGGACCAGCCAATATTGATACAAACTTCGACTCTATAACAATTAAGTACACTCGGTTTAGTATTGGAAGACGTTTCTTCTAAACAACATTGCTGACTAAACATATTTTCTCGTAATATTAAAAATATTTATATTTGTTAATATTATAAGGCATGTTAAGACACTTATCACGTTAAATCAATGACAATGAGCAATGACGTCTGCCTCATCACATAATACATGTTTAATCTTTACCGACTTCAAAAAAGGAGGAGGTATTATGTTCGGGTGATTGTTTTTTATATTTGTTCACAGATTGCTCCGCCATTTGTTAACCAATTTTCAAAATTCTTATAACATTTGAAAGATTATGGGGTCCATTTTCATCATGTGAAGATCTCATGATGGAATCCTACGGAAACCGAGGGGAACTTTCAGATATTGTAGGTGCAAGTAATGCGCCTATTACGTTTTCAATAAAGATTTGTAAACACTACGATTTCATAAGGGTTTGCAGTTGACATGATTATGGCGCCGACAGACAGTGGAGGGAACTCGTCAACGGTTTATAGAAACTACCTCGTGTTTTGGATTGATTCATTTGTATTAATGAAAACTTTACACCTAGATGGAGTGGGACTGTCATTAAGGGTCTGATGAAGAAGTGTTATTGTTAAGGGAACTCGATCCTCAACGGTATACAGTAACTACCTTGTGTATGGGCTTGATCAATTTGTATTGATTAGAACTTTGCTCCTGTATGTGGATTATGAGTGGCCTAACCGGTCTATGTAACTTTACACTAAAAATGATAAATCAAAAAAATAAAGACCGTGCTTAAAAAACCGACTTCAAAAACTGAAAACTTTTAGTTTATTGAAATCGGTTTAAAATTATTAATTAAAAACTTTAACACGTAACCTATCATTAGTATCAGTACTAGTAAAAGTAAATTTTTGGATTTTAGTTTTTACTTTTTGGTTTTTTGAAGAGAGACGTATGCTCTGTATTCCCTGGACCGCTCGCCGCACCAACGTCTCCATTCTCAAGGAGATCGGAATTACTACGAGGCTGTCCACCGTATGCCTGCAGCGAATATTAACTTATTTTGGCCACATTGCGCGTAGAGACCCCAACAATCTGGAGAGGCTTGTGGTTGTTGGTCGGGTTAACGGGAAAACACCTCGTGGTCGCTCACCTACCCGGTGGTTGGATGCTGTAAAAAACCTAACCGGCCTGACAGTTCCACAAGCCATAAAGACCGCAGAGGACAGGGGCGTTTGGAGGAGGATTGTGCATCAAGTGACGCGTGCACCAGACTAGACACGACCTTCAGTAATGAAGAAAACGACTAGGAAGAAGAAGCACGGTCTTAATTTTTTTGATTTATGTTTGTTTTTATCATCATTCATTTTAAAATGCAGTTTTTATTGTTTTATCATACCCTGTCATCATCCTTATTGTTACCGGTGCACCGTACCTGATATGAGGGAGTTGCCCTCAGGGTCCAGGGGTCGGTACCAGTCCCAGAGATTGAGGCCGACGCGGAAGGCAGCCGCGCGGATCTTGTTGCACGTCTTCCATACATCTGCCAGCCGGATTATCTATAGGCCCCACAATAAACTTGATCTTTAATGCTGTTATTATAAATCTTTACGATTTATTCATTTTATAATAAAACCTTGACCCGGATAAGTTACAATTTCACATACACAGACCCCGAAAATAACTTGGTTTTTACTAACATGAAGATGCAAAAAACTGATTGAAGTATTATGTCTAAAAATGTATGGCAACAAGCTCGCCCTCAATGGGCCTACAGACTTTGTGGAAGGTGTGGATTGTTTTTATATTTAATATAACTATCGTGAGACATACTAAATTAACTAAAAATCGCAGGTAATAAAAAGAGTACGCTGCGCGACATCGCTGTGACCGCGCACGTTGCTCATGTGAAAGAACCCCTCTGTGGTTCGAAACAAGTACAGCTTTTCTCAGTATATTCAAGTGAGTAACCCGCGATTTTCAGTTAAGGTGTGGATTGTTTATTTTGTAAGTAGCACCCGCCTGTCCAAGCAATTCTTCGATCTTTGTTTGAAAACCTTAGGCATTGAGCGTAGGTGTACATGGGATATATTCAGATTATCTCAGTCGACGTTGCAACATATTAGTGCGCACAGTAACAGCACGAGCCCCACCTACCGTGTCATGCATTGTGATGCCGCGGATGAGTCCCCGATGTTTATAGTACCACTGGGTCTGTAACTTCTCTCATACCAACTGCATTTATATCAGAACGTGTTTATTCGCAATAATTTTGAAACAATTTTCAAATAAACATAAAAATTTTACATTTGAAAATGGACGTCACACAACTGTCAAAGACTGTTGACATTACTTCGTAAAGATTCGATTTTGTTTTTATTGTACCAGATAAAAAGGAGGTAGAATGTATTGAGTACTTTTTCCATTCCTACTTACTTGTATTTTATTTCCCAAATGTTTGCGTTATTATTTAAAGGACTAGACGAGCTTTTTACCTGTTATGTTATTGAGACCATCTACTACGCTCACCCCTGTCAAAAATATCAATAATTTCGAATATCACAATAATAGTTTACCCATCTCGGGCACGAGGAAGACGACAACTCGGCTAATAATGCTAACTACCCATCCATACTGCCCAGGCGTATGGGCAGGACACGGGTGTATTGAATGACGCTGCTACGGGCTACGATAACTGCTACGTAGGTCGTAGCGGGGCTACGAGCGCTTACGAACTACTACGTACGTCTATTTGAAATAACTTCGTAACCACTTGTTCTACAAATTACAAATTATTTACTTTGTTACGTTAGATATGTGCCTATCTCTATATCCAGATAAACCTATATGTATAGTGTTACCTCGTCATCTATCAATTTGTCAATGGGAGTACGCTGGTGCTAGGCCGTTACGTTACCTCCCCTCCTTTTATGTATGACCGAAGCTTTTCTCTGACTATAATACATTGCTGAGTATATAAGGTTGGCGCGACACGGACCTAGGTACCCGAGAGGTAATGTACAGGGGGCGTAGTGAGCAGCGTGTAAGGTGGAGAAGGTCGGAGGTAGCTTAGCACATGCGCGCGGCGGGACTCGGGCGACCAATGACGTCAGAGGCATCGATCGCGCGGCGCGGCGCGCCTCGGCACAGCTCCTCGGCTCCTGTCACCTCCGGAGCACGTGAACAGAGCCTGGAGGATGCTGGCAGGCGCCACATAGGGGCACGCCACGTGTATTCATGTCCGGCAACCACCCATGTGCGGGCTAAGCTTCAGGACCAGGAATAGCCCTTCACAGAAAACCTCCCTCCGATGGGGCGACAGCTGCCCGCCGCGGCCGAGCAGTAACTCCTCGGAGCAGTGAGACAGTGTACCAGTGTAGTGCAGTAACTGTAGTGCGTGCCGTGACACATGGGAGCCGAGTGACTGCTCGCTGACAATATTTGACACACAGTAAGTGCTGCACAGTCACATACTTCGATGTACCAACTATTCACTTCCTCTGTTATTTTGGATTAAATACAACCAAGCATCGGTCTAGTCTATCTACTGCCTGCCGATCTTTATACTGCCTAATTATTAGTATTATGTATGTGAGCTTACAATGACTATAATATCTATATTAATGAAAATATTATTAAACTGTTTTCTTTACTCTTGCCATACATTGGGGGTTAGTTGAATTAAATAGGTTGATGGCATTTTATATTTGTAGTATGTAAGAACTTAGTAGTGATGAAGGAAAACAATTATAAAATTAATTGAAAATATCGGAAAATGGGCACAATACGAGGAGCCCGGGCGGGCGACTGTTACGATTTTATACAATTGTTTTTGGTGTTTGTTAAGTATACCTTGTTACCTATGACTTATAAGAATGTATTGTTCCTAATCGGTCTTCGTTTTGAGCACACGTTAATTTTGGTCTAATAATAAATGTAATATTGCTGCATAGGTGATGTGATAAGCATATCCATGATAGTCTACATCACAGGAATCACAGAATCGTATCAGCATCACGTAGTACTAAGCGAGGGGTGTGCACATAACTTCGTGGTTGTAGAATCAGTGCACGAAACGAATCGTTATTGATTGCAGGGTTATTATTAGACCGTGAGGTCACAGGTAATATCCGAACTGCGCTGAAGTTTCGACTGTCATCCACTGTGGCAGTATAACTATATCATAACGACTGTTGTTCCTGGCAGAGGTAGAACTGTATCTATAATTTAACATGATATTATTTTTGGTCTTTTGTAAGTTGAATTGATGCTGTCACCTACATGTGAAACTCTATTTTACTATGGCGTTTAAGTTGCAGATACTGATACATACATGCTTTACATTAATTTAGACAGGACAACACATAATGCTCATTGTTGATTGCTCGTGCTCCAAGACCAGCTCATAATAAATACAACGAGGGAATAGTAATTATCAACACGAGTAAGAGTATCAACCTGTATTATCTAAATTACAATAAAAGCAAAGAAGGTTATAAGATATAGGCTTTCACCGAAGTTTCTGTGTTAATTAGATCAGTATTGTTGATACCATGCGATGATGACAAGTAATTGTGGCCAGACTGACAGTAGCCGATGAATCATGTTATAATGTTAAAGTTTAGAAAGAAAGCAGATACCGTACATGCGAGTATAAGAATGTACTTAAAATATCTGTGTGTACAGGAGGAGGGAACATCATTCAAGATGATCAACATAGCGGGTGTGATTTCCATCGTGCTCTTCTACGTGCTGATCCTGGCGGTGGGCATCTGGGCGGGGCGCAAGAAGCCAGCAGGCAATGACTCGGAGGAGGAGGTCATGCTGGCTGGACGGTCCATTGGACTCTTCGTTGGAATATTTACCATGACTGGTGAGTGAACATAACAGAAGCAAGTGTGAGCTGCAAGGATTTTATTAGAGGAGTACAAAAAGTGCACTTCCAAATGTCAAGTACAAAAACAGCAAAATCCATTTAAGTTTTGTATTTTTATTAAATATTATCCAGATAAAGATTGATTAAATACCTTCACTATATACCCAGTAATGTATTTAATTATATTAAACAGAGTTTCGATCCAATTCAGCTTTATTTTGCACTATACAACAATTTTTTGATTTGCCATGATTTGTTGAAAATGGACATTGCTGTTTTTGCTTTTATACGATTCTTTCTTTTATATCATAAGAGAAGACTTCTCTTATGATATCCTTAGAGTAATTTCGAGTTTTAATTAATATTGGTTTCTTATCAATTTTGGAGTAGTTTTTGGTTGGGCTTTCTATCAAAACTTAAAATTAATATAGATTAGGATTTAGACAGAACTTTATAGCAAGTAATTGGTACGTTCTTTTACATGAGGCAAAACAATTCATTCACTAAGTATATTTGTACTTAGTCTCGGTTTGTTTGTCATAACTTACAAATAATAGATAAGTCACTCATCGTTGACTGTCCATTTGAAATGGGAATTACCAAAACTAGTTCATACTCGTAGTCAGGTACTTGCGGCAACACTTGAGATTGTCTATTGACTCTATTTATAGAAAATAGAATGCGAATTCTTGGAACTTCATGAGTTTTAAACGTTTGAACATAAAAAACATATACTTATCATAATATTTTAAACCTTTATTTATTGGAAGCTATTTCATGATTTCTATGTGAGCGAAGCCTATTATTACACATTCATACTTTGGGCACTGTAACTTATATCTTCTCGTTATTTCTGTTCATGCTAATAAAGAATCCAGGATCCTGTTGTTCAGTTTTAATTTAAACCTCATAATCGATGTCAACATTAAATTTTCGTACTCTCTACTGTTACCTACACACTTCATTTCTTTCAATTAATCATCATTTCGCATTGTCCACACTTGTAATAAGTAGCCACTTGAAACAATGTGAGGATTCACCTAGGTTCTCTAAAAGAGACCTTCTTTCAATTCAAAACAGTTCTATTTCGATCGCAGCTGTCCTGTTATATTGTTTGACGACCAGTACAACATGCAGGAAATTCCTAATTTATTAACGATATTATAAAATGAACTTTAAAGCAATTTGTTAGTGCAGAATTTCGATTGTAATTTTAATAAGGTTGTTTTCTAATTCCTTGTAAAGGCGTCAAAAGTAAGTGTTTTGTATTTTCCGTAAATATTGATGTTTCTGAGTGTCTCTTTGTAAAGTAATTGTTTTAATCGTCGACTTGTTTAGACAGGACCTATATTTTGGTTTTCCTTATGAGTGTACTTATGTGGCATCACGTTGTAGTATATACTTACGTTGTGTAACACTTACCAATTAAGAGTTCAGTCTCTATGATCGTATACTAACATATAGTTAATTAGTGAGATTTGTAAAAATCTTTATACATATCTTTAGCTTTTACCCGCGGCTTCGCTCGCGTCACAAAATAATAAAAATACGCGTAATAAAAAGTAACCTTTATGACATATATCAAGACATACAGCGCCATCTATACCAATACTTTTCTTTTCCCTCGGGAATATCTATATTGTCTCTATATTGTCTGCATTCTCTAAACTCTTTGAGAGACTAGTACATAACGTGGTTTATCCGACCATACATAATGTCCTCATTGGTGAGCAGCATGGATTCGTTAGGGGTAGATCTTGTATTAGCAATCTCCTAATTTTCACGTCTTATCTATTTAAAGGTATTGATTCTAGACAACAAATTGATGCAGTCTACACAGATTTCCAAAAGGCGTTTGACAAAATTGATCACAAATTGCTACTTAATAAAATCGCTTACAATGGGATTAGGGGGGATCTTTTGCGATGGTTTGTGTCTTATATAACTAATAGAACGCAAAAAGTTGTGATAAGTGGCTTCGAGTCCAGCTGTATTTCGGTCACGTCGGGTGTCCCTCAAGGTTCCATTCTGGGTCCTTTACTCTTCATTTTATTCATTAATGATATAAAAATCTGTTTTCAACATTCTAAGTTTCTACTTTATGCAGATGATTTAAAGGTATATAAAGTCATAAATAACAGGCAGGACTGTATTAATTTCCAGCATGACCTAAATCGTTTTTCAAATTATTGCTTCACCAATAAGCTTTTTCTCAGTCTTCCTAAGTGTCACGTTATAACATTTACCAAAAAGAAAAATAAAACTGAATTTAATTACTCCCTTGCTAATACTTTCCTGGTTAAAGTTAATTGTCTTCGTGATCTTGGGGTCCGGCTGGATTCGAAGCTACATTTAAATGTTCATATAGATGGAATAGTTAATAAAGCATACCAAATGTATGGTTTCGTTATGAGGGCCTCTAGGGAGTTTCGTAGACCT